TATCTATACATACATTTATTTATTTCCATATTTATTTCAGCATTTATTTATTTATTTATACTTTTATTTATTTATTTCAGCATTTATTTCCGCATTTAAATATTTTTGTATTTATTTCAGTATTTATTTATTCTTTTATTTATTAATTTCTGTATTTATACATTTATTTATGCATTTATTTATTTATTCCTGTATTTATTTATACATTTATTAATGCATTTATTTATTTATACTTATGTTATTTTCTGTCCTCCATAGCCAGCAGGTGCATCTTTTCACCTAATCAGGCCCGTGCACCCCATTACCAGTCCGGCGGATCCAATAGTTTCACCACGTCAGTTCCACTTGGTTACATTAATAGTGAATGAAGATGGCACACAGCTCAAATTGAAAAGTTTCAGGTTCGCCTGAAAAAAAAGCACTGAAAGCATGAATATCTTTTTTAATGATGCAGATGAAAGCTAAAAACCCAAATCATAGCACAACATGTCAGAAGGCTGTATAAAAATATTTGGCTTTGATAAAGTGAAGCAAAAAAACGTTAAGAAAGGTTTAGTACAGGGAGGTCGAGCTGATTTGTCATTTTGGAAGCAGCTGTTCCAACTGTTCCATTGTACTTTTATATACTATATAACTATATATTTCACTTGTTTTATCTCTAATATTATTCAATCTATCCAAAATACAGCAGTTTGGCATCATTTTAAGAGCCTGAGGCTCTCTAAACCCTGTCTGTGTCTGTGAACCACGGATCAATTCTCGTCTGCCTGTGTGTATGTGAGGCCTTTGTCAGCCTATGATTGGTCAATCCCAGACTATGACACCTCTTTAGATGCGTCAGAGTCTCATGAATACAGGGGTGGTAATGTGGGTTTGATTGACAGAATCGCTAGAGGAAAAAAAACAGAAACGCGCCTTGCGTTGCCCTGCATAAAGACTGATTAGCCAGCCTTGTCTGACCCCCCCTTATTCCAGGGAGCACTGTAAAAAACACAGGAAAGACGTAACAACAGTGTTTTAGCCGCCAAAAACGGAATATGAATCCTTTTTCTTCATGATTCGTCTCAAGGTACGAAGCATTTATGGTTTATTCTGCGGTGGAGTGGCTTGGTTTTGTGGTGCTTGTTGGCTGTATCGCTGTACTGGTTTCACGGAGAGATATTTGGAAGATATCTGTGGACTCTGTGTCGAATGCTCGTGCTTTTTGCTATCTCGGTTGTGCATGTTAGCGGTTAGCATTTTCTTTGTTCAGCTTTGTAAGGAGTGCATGGCCGCCGAGCAGTGGTGGGCCGTCAGGGCCTGCAAAGCCTTCTCTGCTGGCCTAAACAGAATCACAAAGCTATATCTATTTTATAATTTAAAATTTTTTCTTAAATACACTACATGTATTATAATTTCTAAAAATATTTTTCCCATTATCTTATTTTCTCATTGCACAGCTAGTGTCTTCCTCAGTTGCTCTGCTTCCAGTGCAGCTTGTTTTAAGTAGAGCTTTTATCCAATCAGATTTCACCTCTGTTTCTCTAGGTAAGAAGAGAGGCCCGAGGCCTGCAGACTCACAAGTGAATCCCTTTGCAGTTTAAAACCTTCTGGGCCCGAGCGAGCCCCATTTGGGGTTCGAGTGAGACCGTTTAGCGTGGCAACGTGTCGTAGAATGCACTTTTCAGAAACAAATATAATGAATGCTCCACACATATCATATACCGAATTAACGAAGAAACTATTTTTATAAATTATAATACATGTAGTGTATTTGAGAAAAATTATTAAATTATAAAATAGCTATAACTTTGTGATTCTGTTTAGGCCGGCAGAGAAGGCCACCACTGGCGTTACCATCTGGCCTATGTGAGGGCTGCCTTGCTGGAGTAGTGGGGAGGGCCCACAGTCAAATGTGATTAGGGTTACTGCCTTGTTTGGAGGGAAAAAACAGGGAGAGAAAGATAAAATTAATTAATCAGTTAATTAATTCCAAGGTAAACAATACATCATTACAACCATGGACCCAGATTATCAGGATTTATTTTAAGGCCTGTCACTGTCACAAACTCTCCCACATGGCTTGGGGGAAACTCTGTTGACGAGGTTTGATGTCAGAGCAAATGCTGATAAATGGTTACCCACGTCATAGTTACTATGGGGTTTCCCCCTGTGGGGAGACCAGTCCTTCACATGTGTACACACATGACCTAACTTTGCCTCTGTCTCTCTCTCTGAGTCCTGCAATGAGCTCTACATGAGCAGTGCTGTGACGCACCACATGTCACATGATATCAACCCTCCACTGCTCTGAATTAATGTGCGTATGTGCCGACTAGATAGTTCTAACATTTGTCGGCATGAATCACATTGTTGTTTACAATGTGTCTTTATGCTTGAGTTATTTGTATGCTGCCCAGCAGCAGCAGAGAGCAGAGAAGAGAGAGCCTTCTACTGGAAAGGTGACTGTATCATAGATATGTGGATGATGAACGCTGTGCTCCGTTGAATCACTGTATTTTAACACTTCCTTTATTCTACATTATCCTGTGATAGTCATAACTATATATAACACAATATGTTAGCATTAAAGCAAACCACAGACATTTACTTTTTACACTACTAACTATGGCTATTTTGCACTGCTGCATTGTGTACTTCCCAGACCATAACAGCACCAAATAAACAGTCAGTGAATTTAAAATCAGGGAAATAATGTAGATGCCTTGCACCAGACTTGGGCTCGCTTGGTCACCCTTACTGACCGGCTAACAGGTGCAATCGCGAGGAATTATGGAGGCAGGAGTTTCAGATTACCTGCAAAACACAGCATAAAGATCAGCTTTGACCATAGCACAACTTGATCACTGGCAGGTCAGCTCGTCTTTTGAACACTGTGACTGTATTGTATTGATCACTAAACTGTCGTTGTCAACTAAGGATGGTCAAAATGCTTACACGTTTGCAGATGGCAACTCTTAAACCTGCATGTTCACCAGGACACATGACCCTTATTGCTGTGTCCTTTGTTCTCAACTTCACTGAGCATCCAACATGTAGCTACTGTTAAGGAAATACTGAAATTGACTTAGTATTTATTTGTTTTTACAAAACTGATGTGAGGTGAGAAGACGAAGTGCCCTGTAAGGTTCCTTTCTAGTAGAGAAAATGTGATGACGTGCCCTGTAAGATTCCATTCTAGTAGAATAAATGTGATGAAGTGCCCTGTAAGGTTCCATAGTAGAGAAAATGTAATGAAGTGCCCTGTAGGTTCCTTTCTAGTAGAGAAAATGTGATGACGTGCCCTGTAAGATTCCATTCTAGTAGAAAAAATGTGATGAAGTGCCCTGTAAGGTTCCATAGTAGAGAAAATGTAACGAAGTGCCCTGTAGGTTCCTTTCTAGTAGAGAAAATGTGATGAAGTGCCCTGTAAGGTTCCTTTCTAGTAGAGAAAATGTGATGAAGTGCCTTGTAGGTTCCTTTCTAATAGAGAAAATGTGATGACGTGCCCTGTAAGTTTCCCTTCTAGAAGAGAAAATGCAATGCAATGTCCTGTAAAAGATAAATTTAATTAAATTGAATTGACCTGTAAATTTCCCTTCTAGAGAAAATGTGATGAAGTAAGGTCACTTTCTATAGAGGAAGTGTGATAAAGTGCCCTGTAGGGTTTTCCCCCAGTAGAGAAAAGGTAAAGCAGTGCCCTGTAGGGTGCACTTAAATGGAGAAACATAATAAAGTGCCCTCAACATAATTTACAAAAACATATAGGCTGTCCATCTATTCCCCAGGTTGCTTGGTCCCCCTGGTATCTGACTGACTGACTGAAGTTGCAACCATGGGCATGTTTTTCCTTCTGGCTTCAGTTTACAGAGGTGCACACAACTGAGCACAAAACACTTTTCATGTATGTTAAGGTTTGAAACGTTTTACTTTTATTTTTTTATTTTACTAGGATAATCTCAGTGACATTCGGCGTATCTTTTACAAGGGAGTCCTGGTCAAGACAGCAGCGTAAAAAGTTTCACATTAAAGGATGAACAACAGACATTAAAACAGCTAAAAAGTTCAAACAAACAACATAATAAATTGCAGATAAAAGAAACAAGCAACATATTTAAAAGAGCAAATTACATCAAACAATGAATAAACAGTGTTTTTCAGTAAAAGAACATGTACAGTCAGTATTTAAATAGTCCGTAATCCTGCATCTTCCAGCTCACACATGAGGGTGCAGGTTCTTTCAGTTCATGCTATAGAATGAATTTATGTAGTATAGATTCAAATGGCGGTACAACCTCTTATATGATTAAGGCAGTCTGTGATAATGATGAATGAATGCTCCGCAGTTTGAAACAGCACAGTAACTTTATTCTTTAAATATTTTGACACAGTAGATATTGTATCTGAACCAATTACATATTGGTGACATGGTGATATAGAGGACATTCACAAATGGGTCCTGTTCATCCATCTCTTTATTAATTTACCTTGCGTGTTCCTCTTTGTTTTCTGTCACTATGTGTTTAATGTATTTCTCAGTTTGTGTGCTTCTACAGCATCTGTGACTCACAGACAAACAAGACAGCAGGTGGTGTGTGATGTAATATGGGCCACATATAAGTCTTCTGTCTGTCTGCTGAGGAGGAAACAGGATACAACTCTCTGGCAAACTGGACCCCTAATGGGTTCAGCTTTTAGAGGTGTCTAATTATGCAAACTGAAACTTTTCTCTGGGCTTTAAAGAGTGCAGAAGTTGAGGCATTTTCTTCATGATTTTCCCTCAGAGCGATTGAAGCTGAAAATATTTAATGACCAATTTTGTTCAAAGGAAACATTTAATTGATCTTAGAAATACACAATAGTTGTGTATCTCTACGATTTCCGGGATTAGTGAGCAGAGGATGTCATCGTCAAGGTCCAAGCTCCCTCTGCTCCTGTTTGGGATCCTCCTGTGCAGCTCCTTTGCTCCTCTCCCAGTCATCAGCAGTAAGAGACATAGCATACGGAGCGCCGGGCCATTGATGCATGCCATCGGCAGCTCCTGGGACAAGAGGGAGGTGGCAGCTAGAGATGGAGAATACCTGCTGGGGATAAAAAGACTAAGAAGGCTTTACTGTAATGTGGGCATTGGCTTCCACATTCAGGTCTTACCAAATGGGAAGATCACAGGCGTGCATAATGAAAACAGATACAGTAAGTCATTTTGCTTTTCCCTGTTGAATTCCATGTAAAGCAGACAAATAAATGTAGTCATAAACAGTTAGGTTGCCATTTTTCTCGTTTGAGTAACTAGATTTGTGACTTTTATTCGGGCCATTGGGACCAGTTATTCCTGTATGAATTGTTAAAATCATTATGCATCACTACTTTGTCATTAGCATGATGAACATTATGAATTAATTCTGTGTTTATTTTAACAATTAAATACAGTAATATCTTGTCAGTTGGTGTGAATTGATATTGTGGAATTCACTTGGGCACTACTGAAAAATATAGACTTTAATTGGCCAATTAAAGCCCCAAAACACAATTTTTGAAAGGCCACGCCCCTCACACTGTAATTCAGATTGACTCTAAATTCCGGTCTGCCCATAAATTTTCCGTCTTTTGAATTAAGAAAATACTTCTGACATCTACGAAACTGTAGGTTTGATTGCTGCCAAATATTATGTGGAACATTATTGGACCCAGCATATCAAAAGATTATTGACATCCTATTTAGTTTTCAAGCTATTGACCAATGGACAAAAGGGCATGGCTCAGCACTAGTTCCGAACATTTGCATGGTCCTGGCACAATGTTGGTCATAAATCAATGACAGTTTCTCCAAACATCACCAAGCTTTCTGAATGTTTTCTATTAAGCTGTTGAGACATCTCCACAAAATGTAAGGATATGTGACTGGTGGGACTTTGTGTGAAATTACTATATTACCAACTTGTTGCAGAGAGGGTGATTAAATTCATTGTGATTGTAGTATACAATAATCATTTAATTCTTGTAATGACTGCTGACAAGTGGGGTAACATGAGGATTCTTAAAATAGCATATTTATAGACTGATATTAAGACCATGTACCTGAGAGATCAGTGAAGGACATGAATGATGCAGCTTGTACTTTTCCTCTCCCAGTGTGTGTTTGTAGCCTTTTGACTGATGCTTTTCATTTCTTTATCTCAGGATGTGAATGACTTGAAGTGGACAGGCAGGTAGTTAGTGTTGCATCAGCTGCTCCAACACAAACTGAGACTATGGCGAGGGAATGGAAAGTAAGAACTGCAAGCATATGCTCCATAAATATCAAATTTTTCTTTCCTAAATCTCCATTATTATTACTATTATTAGATCCTCATATTTCAACCACATTCAAAAGTGACTTTTTTTCCAAAGTCTGTGTCCTAAGCAATTTCAGACAGACTACCAACTGTGATTGACCCAAACATCTCAGCTTTCTGTCTGTCAGCAGCACACTCCTGAAGGGCTGAAATAACAGATCTTCTCCAAGCGGTAGTAAGTTAACCATAGAAATGTACTGTACAAAAGTACATGTCAAGTAGGCTCCACAGGAGAAAATCCCAATTGTTTTTATTTGTTGAGTCATCAATTCTATCCCTCACCCACCTTACTGGTGAAAGAGACAGGAGCAAATTCTCAAAGGATTTTGAACTTTTGTGGCTTCTAAACCTGCCAAAATAAGACAAAAAGAAGCTGGGTGAAATATTCCTCTAACTGCTGTTGTGCTATTTGTACGTATTTAAATTAAGGGTTATACATTCATGCTGTGCTAAATTGTTTTTTTTCTATGAAAATGAGCCTCATTACAGAAAGATCAGCGCTAATAGCCACACAGAGTAACAGTGAAACTATTAGTGTCTTCAGAGGGTTGGTGGTCGCTGAAGCCCTTTTATGTGGGGTGTTCACTCAAACTCATTGATTGTGGGATGAAATGACAGTTGCGTCATGAAAAATAAATTAATAAAGTTCCCCTGCATATAATTTAAAAAAATAGGCTACATGACAATAATTCATGAAAAATACAACACAATCTCACTCCCACATTGTCAAACAGCAACGCTTGGTCAGTGGCCCTAAGCTTCAAACTATGATGCTCTACATACCCCTCTAGCTTCAGTTTTGCTCGCAGCAGGGACGACATGTCAGTTTCCACTCATTACATGCATAACATCTTTTCAAAATAAACTTCCTCACAGGAAGTTAGGGTTTAGGCAACAAAACCACTTAGAAAGTTTTAGGAAAAGAGCGTGGTTGACGTTGACTTGACTGACTAATAACTGATGTGTTTAGTGACTAACGACTCTAGTGAGTCAGTTAACTAACGACTGTTGTGACAATATAGTTTACTTTTAGTTTTGCAGTGTACACAAATGTTTTCCTGGTTCAGTTCAGAAAAAGTGCAACACATAAATCAGCAACCGTCCATTTAATGCCTGCCCTTTAAATTGAAAGAATAAAACATATCCATGAAGTGCGTCACATATGCTTTCAGAGAAATGAAATACAACATACCAACATTATTCAGGGACTTTCCCATTTTACCTGTTCAAATCTTTTTGGGACGATACACCACGATCATAGTAAGTATTAACAGTGTCTCATTTTGATGGTCTCTATCTGCTACTGATCAGTTCCATGTTTTATCCCAGGCCTTCTGGAGATGTCCCCAGTGGAGAGAGGAGTGGTCACTCTGTTTGGAGTGAAAAGCGGCCTCTTCATTGCCATGAGCGACAAAGGGAAACTCTACGGCTCGGTAAGAACTGATCAGGATTTGATGACAAGATGTGTGAACTGAACTAAAGTTACACACACACACACACACACACACACACTGAATTCTTTAAAATGGCCAAGAATTATTAATACCCAGATGACGTAAACACTGATTGAATTCCATGTCACAGTTAATTGTAGGTCATTTTCTTCTGGCCCAAAGCCATTGGTGTAATGTTTTATTTGGTTGCGACCACCCAAACATTGGAGTGATCAGCTCCGGTTAAAATAGTTTTGAATGCTGACTGAGGCTAACTCAGCCATGATCTAAACACAGTTAGTCATCCAGTTACTCATCTAACAGCAGGCCTCTATGCACAAAGGTAGGTGGTTTGGTTTGGGGTGGAATGAGATTGACCTTTGGTTTGAACTGCTCCCAGATCTCCGTGACTAAGCCTGCCATGCCAATGAGGTTTTTCCTTGTATTAGTATACATTATACTATATATATATAATAAGGAGAGATTAAGTAGCTGTGGTAGGGGCAACAGAATGAGGAAAGCTCTTGAACCTGATGGAATTTTCCATTCAGCTAGGACATCTAACCGTGTATACAGTGGCGCCGGCAAGATTATATTCCGTAGTACGAACAAGAACCGCCCGCCGGCTTACAAATGACAGTGGCTTACAAATGACAGTACCTTACGTCTAAGTTCCCACGCACGTACATACGCAGTCTACTCAGTGAGCGGGTAAGAGAGAGAAAGATTCATATTTTTTTTACAATAATGTTACCGATACAACACCACCGTAAAACTGATAACTGCAGCATTTCAAAGAGCAGCCAACAATACGTCAACAGTAAGTCAAGACAATGAAATGTTATCACAATATGGAACGGCAACATTAATTTAGCCCCCCACAATATACACACAATATGAAGTGAGGTTGTATAAAATAGTTTGTCATAACATCAACATTGACATTCAAATTCTAAACCAACATTTGAATGCTATGAAGGTTTGTTATTGCATGTCTATTCAATGTGTTTTAAACCCAGTTTATCTGCATAGTTACAGTTACAGATTAGGCTACACTAATAGTTAGTATTGTACTATTTCAGTCTCACTGTAGTTTGTGAAATAGCCACGAAATGCAATCTATTGGTTTCGTGTACAGTGACACGAACTGTCAGGTTTTTTTCATGCAGCTTGGAACAACTTTTCTTTTGGGACGACATTTTGTGACAAAACGAAAGAAAGAAAAATCCACAACAAGACTTTGGGACGTGCAGTGATGAATACCAGTGTCGTGGTTGGAAGTCCTTGTTTGTCAGACCCATCCACCTCCTCTCCCGCCCACCATAAGTGGTCTTTGTCATTTTTTTCCCCATACGTTTTATATTCCCTTGGATGCGTTTAATTTGTGTGTCCACCACAAAAAAGGATTCTAATCGATCTTCCATTGGTATAGTTTTTGTACTGAGCCATTTGACAGTTCATGTCCTTGTGCACAAAACCAATAAATTGCATGCCAGCCCGTGCATTAAGGCGCCATTGTGCGTAGGATTGTTTCCGATTTGTGTGATCCAAAAAATGTCCAATAGCTCTAGAGCGTCGTTGTCCAAAAGTACACAAATCACTGGCCTTTTGCTAAGCCCCGCCTTTTGATAATCCCCGCCTCCCGCAGCCGCTCCATCAAGCTGTCAGAGTTACCATGGAGCCCACACTGTCACTTAACTGCATTCCCTAAATGAATGTTATCTTCTATTTTTTAAAGACAGAAGGGTGAACAATGTGTTTGAAGGATATATCATGGATGTCAAACTGATTCAGTAGTGAAAACAGGTTAAAAAGATAAAGTTAAAGTTAAAGCTACTGATCATATTGTAAAAGTAAAACATCACATCACCTGGAAGCAAGACAGAGGACAGTGAAATTATGAAACAACACTGTTCCTGTAAAGCTGGGTTGGTCACTATTGCAAACCTCTTGCACACGACGCCCCCAAATTTGGGGGCTCTCGGACTTAGGGGGGGTTGCAAATATCGTCCAAAAAATGGTCATGTTGATAGCAATTATTGTCCATGTGTACATTTTATATATCAGATTAAACAGCAACGTATGGGCAACACTATCATATAAGCAGTGGTGGGCCGTGCATTTTATACCTGGGCCTTCACTGCTGTCCTGCAGCTGAAACACAGCTACGGTTATTATTTGTTTTGTGTCAAAATTAAGCCAACACCTATCTGCAGAGAATATCCCGGGAGTGCGTCTCCTCTCTGCTCTGACTGCAGCTGGGACTGCTGCGCCTGTGTGTGCTTTGGGGCGGCGGAGGGGCTCACAGCAGCTCCCGCTGCTCGTTCACGACTGTGCAGAACGGTATGTGCTTTCACGAGTCAAAACACCACAAAAGTCTCCAACAACACCAGAACAAGTTGCTAGATTTGTCACTAGTAGCTTTTGACAAAAAAAGTCGCCATGAGGGTTTGGAAAGTCGGCAGATTTAGCGAGAGAGTCGCCAAGTTGGCAACACTGGCACCGGATAAATGTGTCCCCAGAGCAACATTGGACCTAACAATGGTTCCTATCGCATCTAAAACCAAACAAAAATCTCCATAAAAACAAGTTGTACAAATAATAATATATAAACAAGCATACTAAAGCTACTGCAGATGTAAAAACAAACGCATTTAAGTTACCAGAGCTGCTGTTCACTATTTAAAGACAAAGTGCATCCTCCTTTCTTTGTTAACAAAGAGTTTAATCTCACGGTCGTTCAGTACATCCGTGCGTTTTAGTTCCAGTAAGAAGTCCTTCTCAATTCATGGACACCAGTGAAGACAGTGGAGCCTCCCCAGTTGTATTTCTTGAATAGGTTTTAATGCGTTTGAGGGCTGAAAATGTCCGCTCGACAGAGGCAGCAGATATTGGGATAGTCACCGCCCAACATGTCAGGCTAGCCCACTGACCAATCACCTATGGCTAGGCTAGCAGGCTCTGGCACCTCAACGAATACGCCCAACATGTCAAACTAAAGATCTGATTGGTTGAACACTATGACAATCAACAATATCGTCCCCATTCACTTGAACTGCAAAGGCATTCACTTGTGAGTCTGCAGGCCTCGGGCCTCTCTTCTTACCTAGAGACACAGAGGTGAAATCTGATTGGATAAAAGCTCTCCTTAAAACAAGCTGCACTGGAAGCAGAGCAACTGAGGAAGACAGTAGCTGTGCAATGAGAAAATAAGATAATGGGAAATATATTTTTATAAATTATTATACATGTAGTGTATTTAAGAAAAAATATTAAATTATAAAATAGCTATAACTTTGTGATTCTGTTTAGGCCAGCAGAGAAGGCTTTGCAGGCCCTGACGGCCCACCACTGCATATAAGTCACTTTTTACACACTCAAAACACAACTATACACTACTAATATAAGCAACTAGAAAATGTGGCATAAAACCACGTATTCCTGGCCACAAATCACCGTTTGATTTACTGCGCTTCGATATTGGAACACCAAGCTAACGGCTCCACTGCTAATCAATAAGCCCAAGAGCATTAGCATTCGACGCAGAACCCATAAATGCCTTCGGTTTTTCTCTCCGTGAAACCAGTACAAAGCTGTGAGTGAACAACGGCAACACAACAGTTCCCTTCACCGGAAAAAATCGTTGGTATCTGCTTACCTTTTATAAAGAATCACAAAAATAACGGCGAAAATGATCCGGTTCAAAGGTAGAATCATTGTTGGCAACTACATCCTGTCTGTTTCCCCATCTGTTTCCTGTATAAGGGGGGTCAATCTAACTTGCTGGACCCGTGGGTGGGTGGTCAGACTTTTGGCAAACGGAATTTTACGCTCGGGGATGCGCGGCACTTCTTGCAACTTTACTTGCTGAAAATTCTGTCAATCAACACCCGGCTTCGACGACAGCCTTCCTGAGACTCTGACGCGTCAAAGGCAGGCTCATTGACTGAAATCGAACGATGATAGGCTGAGCTACACTCCCATACACACACAGCAACTTGAATTCAGACGAGAAAATCACATGGATGAGAGCCAGAAACAGGCTCTGAGAGGACCCTGGCTCTCAAAATGATGCCAAACGGCTGTATTTGGATGTATTGAATAATATGAGTGATAAAAAAGTGAAATATATAGTTATATAGTATATAAAATTACAATGTAAGAGCTGCAACAGCTGGTTCCAAAATGACGACCTCACATGACGTCTCTGTACTAAAAGCCTCTTATTCTTCACTTTATCCCAGCCAAAACTTTATTCTAGGACTACTGATCGGTTGTGCTATGATTTGGGAGAGTTTTTAGGCTCTCAGCTGCATTATTTCAAAAACATAATGTCAATAAAAGGTAAAAGTGCTTTTTTTTCAGGCGAACCTGAATATTTTCAATTTGAGCTGTGTAATATCTTCATGTACTATATTAACCAGAAACATATACACAATATTTACCCATCTGAACAATCTCACAAGTGTTATCTGATTATAGCATCAACAATTATTAAAATAGGCCTTGTAGTTACAGAATTAAAGTCTCTTTAGTATGGGTATGCCATTTTCGAGCAGAGGTATAAAAATAGGGCTAGTGTTTAATAGGAGAATCAATAAATTACATTCAGAGCATGACTATAGCAGCAAAAAACTATTTTCTATGTAAAGATACAGAGTAATGTCTACCTGAGCAGAGAATGAAGTCGCTTTCCCACTGTGTGTGTTGTTATCCGAATTTCTCTGTGCATGCTTTTAGGGCATGTTGGTGCATGTGAGCCGTCGCTCTGTGCTGCTCTCTCACAGCTGATTACTTCGTCACGACCAACAGATTCATCATAGAAGCATAGCACCCACTCAATTTTCAGGTTAACACTGTTAGCTCAGTCTGCATATTTGCTGTAGTTTGTAGTGTTAGCGCTGTAAGCACTGTTAGCTATGAGCAGCTTGCTGTTGCACTTCCATGTTGCTGCAGTAGACCACAACGGACAAACCAAACATTGGATCTAAAGAGATTCCTTTTGCGTTTTTCAAGCTTTTAGAGGGAGGGTCACTAGATGCCACTAAATCTTAATATACTTTGAGTGTTTTGCCCATCATTCGTGAGCAATGGCTGAATTAATATATTCTATGTTGGAATTACTGATAAATACAATTTTAAAAAGTGATAGTGGTCGCGGTTTGGTGGAGGCAAGAATCTATAAGTTCTACTGATTGCAATGGGATATTGAGCAACATTCCTTGAATCAGAAGTTGTGGAAATTAAAGCTTTTTATTTTATTAAGCTTGAGAGAAGGGCATCACCAAATTCAAAGTTTTGTTGATGGAATCTGATGAGGTCATTTTCTGTTTAGATTTTTTATTGTTTAGCTCAAATTAGATTTTTAGATGTGATCTGAAGAGGTTTGAGAGGTCAATTTATCAATTTATTGCTCCATCAGTTTTCATAACTCAAAGCATTACAACATAACAGACCCACACTATCAGAATTGTTTTGGAGGTGCTTTGTTTTGGTTTTAATGAGTCAAAATTAATGAAACATGTGGGCGGTAAGAAATGAGGACCCACACTAAACAAACTGGGAACATTAGCAAAAAATCACACATGATCAGTATTTAAACACACAAGACAGTCTTCACCGAAGAAAAAAAAAATGGCATTTCTCCACATGCCTTAACAATCTTAAATGTAACAATCAGAGCCTAGCTATTACCTTCACACTGCTTTTAACATGGCAAAAGCTGAGCCGGCGACTCACAGCTAACAGTGCTAATTACAGCAACAGTGCTGACAGAGTGAAGTGTTTTCCTGAGGGGGAACCTGGAGGATGGGCGATACGTGTCCACAATGACGCTGTCGGTCGGGACGCCGTTATCAGCAGTAACTGCCGTATGAGCACAGTGCAGAGCACTAACCGGTGGGGAACGCTCACATGCACTAAAATGCATGCGCAGCCAGGCCCAGATATGTCAACAAATCACAATGAAGCTTGGATAACAGAACACACAGAGGGAGAGAGACTTCATCACCATCTGTCATGAGGAAATGGTGGAATCATGATGACATGCTGTCTTGCAAATAGTGCCAAAACCCAACTAGAGAAAAAAAAGAACATTCTCATATTCTAGAACCTAAAACAATGACTTGATTGGACTTTATTATCTTTCTCGTCACAGGGTCGCTACAATGATGAATGTAAGTTCAAGGAAAATCTACTGGCCAACAACTATAATGCCTATGAATCAGCTGCCTACCCTGGCATGTACATCGGCCTCAGCAAGACTGGCAAAACCAAGAGAGGCAACCGGGTCACACCCACTATGACCATGACACACTTCCTTCCCAGGATATGATTTTAAAAAACAAAGCTCTCAGCCATACAGAATGAAGACATATTTTACTGTTGGACTACTCATATTCTACTTAACAACTAACAACATACAAAAGTGAAAAACTTGGCTATATTTTGAAATGTTTTGCTTAATTACAAGCTCCCACGCTTAAGGCAATGTTTGTATGAAATGACATGCACCAACCAAAGATTAAGAATATGGTATCAATGTGGCTGTGGTAGAAGAGTCCAACTTAATACTAAATACTTAAAAATTCAAAGTGTATAGCACCCCTAGTGGTGGTTATTATATGTTACAGTATATTTACTTATAGAAGTTTAAACCAAAAAGCATAGTCATTAGATGTATTGAACATTGTAAGTATAGTCATTGGATGTATTGAACACTGTGAAGAAGATTTGCTGAAATGTATTAAGTATTAGGTCAGATAGGGTTTTCAGATACGCCCATATGAATGAGTGCAGGATGGCCAAGCGAGGATATTGGAGTATGCTGCTTTAAGGAAGGAGGAGGCCGGACCATAATAATGAGTCATAAGTCAGGAGGAGCTTATTGGATTTCAGCCAATTACTGAGCTGATACGGGACATCTCAGAGACACTGACACACAAAAGACTGTGGATCTACGGACATCGGGAGATCCTCTGCGGGCCATCGGCCAGACACTAGTCTGCCGGGTGGCCCTGACTGGGCCTCAATTTCATGAAATATTATGTTATTAATAGTGTGATTCGGTTTGTAACTGTTTTTGCGTTTGTTGGATAATAAATCCTTTCGATTTTGACTTGAACCAGCTGTTCTGTTTTGGAGGCGGATGAGAAGCACACGGTGAGGGGGAAGGGCGGTTTCTATCTTCGACCAGAAGTTCTGTTGCCCTAACATTAGACACCAAATGCAAAACCTTGGTATATCTTTCAGGACCTCCACCTCACCTACTTTACAAGCAAAGCACATCAGACCGTGGCCAGCGGTACCACAGTTTTGAACTTTCCAGCTCCATTACCAAAGTTTCACAAGCTTGTTGGACAACTACTGTGGCCTCCAGGTCTGTCCTTTGTGGGCTACTGTAGAAACATGTTTTAAATGTAATTTATTGCTCCTTTAATGATTGTAACAGTGAATACCTACCCGGCTTTGCGGGAACTGTGTTCCATAATTTCTTCTTTCTTGATTGCCAGGTGATGTTGTGGTTCACTTAGGCTTTAGCTTCTAACTTAATATGTTAACCTGTTCTATTTCATCCTTACTGAGTGCTTCACACTGGATATCTTCCGTCTCGCGCATGCGCAGGTCGAATATTTATACCAACAAAGTCACCTGTGACCTCGGATGACCCCCGTCGTCTATAACTTCCGGTGTCATCCTGAGTTCAGTCCTTTTTCATCTTCTCGCTACGCAGGTTAGCTACCATGGTAGCATAAACAAAGATGTGTCTACGATCAAGACATATTAGAGCTTGTCGCTGTAGCCTTGTGACCACCGGTCGGAGTTGCGGATATCTCGCCCTCCAAAGGCTGCGACAAGCTGTCCCTCTATGGAGGGAGCGGTGTGTTTTGCCGTTCGGACCATCGAGCCCCGGACTGGTGGATGCCCCTATCATCGGTCGTCACCAGTCTGATAAGGGCCACCTAAGTCGTGAAGACAGCAATCGGTGACATCGATTAACATTGTTTTCTATAACCGTTGTTCGTTTTCCACGGTTGGCAGAGCGCTTCCGCTCTAGCTAATCGAGTGGCGTGCTAACGAGAGCTGTGTCCTGCTCAGGCTAACATGATGAGATGCTAGTGTTGGGAACGTAAAGGAGCGTGTTTGGTTATCAGCAAATATGAAACTAAATTATCAACATCAATGGAGTTATTAATATCAATAAGTTAATTAGTAATTACTAATAAGAACGGGGCACCACCCTGCGGACAGGGACCAATAACCAAACTATAAACTAAGTCTCATAATTAGTGGTCACTCACGATATTAACAGTCTGAATACTATTACAGGTTTGGAGTGCGAGTGAAGGGTTAAGTTCGAGCACAGGCCACTACATCCAGTTGTTATTACACACCTATGCACAAGTAATCACAGACAACTGCTCTCTAAAATATAACAGAGTTTATTAAATCAAAATAATAAATGATCAAATCAAGTAATATCACAATCAACAAACGCTATCATACAATTATGTGTCTAATACCTAAACTCAAATGAATAAAGTGGGGTAAGGATATGTGTATCGATATATGTACATGTGTGTGTGTGTGTGTGTGTGTGTGTGTGTGTGGAACGGAAGGGGGGGGGGGGCCTACTCAACAGTGATGGTGGATAATCTCAATAGGGGCGTGTGAGCCTACAGGCAAAGATGGCGGAGTCTAGGGACCGGCGACCAAAATGGCTGAGAGGTGGCTGCTATCACCACGTGGGACGGCGTACCATGTGGGTTGGGGTCAGAGATTACATAATCACGAGTCTGAGAGGTTCACCCAAAATCAGTACCTCTAACTACGTGTGTGTTAGTAGAGGGAGAGAGAGAGAGAGAGAAAATCGAGCTCTGACCGCGGTGCTCTGCGCAGTAGTGAGGAAGTGAGGAACAGCACGCTTTTACGGTGATAGTTGCGGTTCTAGATCTCACTCGCAGAGCCGATTTAAAGAGGAGAGAATAAAACCAAAAACAAAATAAAAGAATCCCCAAAACAAACAGATCTTTGTCACTGTGGTGAAATGCAAGTTTGTCTCCCTATCACCCCGAAACTCGGTCGGCCAGACGAGAGTCGGCCACCGTAGTTTTAGTTTTTAAAGTGATAGAATCACAAGCTCCACATCCACTAGCAGCGATGGATCAAATGCAAACGGTTACAGCAGGAAATACACAATATAACGGGACTCCGTGGTCCGCGATGCTGGCGTAATAACACGTTATAACACGACAGTAACTTAACACAACAAGATACAGGAATAACAACATAAATGAATAGTCTAAATTAAGCTAATGCTAAGCTAAGCTAGACCCAGATACCAGTAACTTACTTTGAGAAGCTTCGTTCGGTAGGGTCCATTTCCTGTGGTGGGAATCATTCAGTCCTCGGGAGATGTGGGGTCCCGGTGGCGCGGCTATTGGAGCTAGCGCAGACTCAATCCCCTCGCTGCAGAGAGGGGTCTTCTTAACGTCGGAGGCGTGCGGGAGTCGCTCGTCTTTGGCTGGAAGTCTTCGGCTCGTTAGGGGCTCAGTTGCCCTCTTTTGCCGGCAAGGTGTGCACTAAAGGGTGGGAGGACGGGTCGTAGAGATTATCCGTTCTCGCACTACGGGATCCAAAACTCAAAATAAAACACAGTCTGTAGTTCGACCAGCGAATGTAACATGTGACCTGATTTGATGAGGCCGCGGCTCCTCGTGAATCTTCTTGTTGCCAGGACGAGGTCCGGAGGGAAGAGGCTGAATGGCGTTTCCTGCTCGCTTATAAACCAGGTCTCGAACCCAGTGGGGGGCCACTTCTTGGCCAATGAGGGGCCAGGATCAAGTTTTGGCTGTGCTGGGAGGTGTAGTCATTCATCTTGGAGTTTCCATCAGACGTTGTATGATAGGAAGGAGCATGGGTGCTTCTAGACTAGGGCCAGATCCCAACACTAGTTCGACGTTAGCATTATGTCCACTGATGTAACATTACGACTATCACAGTTAGCAGAGTGTTCCCACTCAGGCAAACTTGATGAGATGCTAGTTCAACATTAGCATTATGTCCACTGATGTTGCAACATTACGGCTATCACAGTTAGCAGAGTGTTCCTGCTCAGGCAAACTTGGTGAGAGTCTAGCTCGACTAGATCGACATTGGCATTGTGTCCATTGAGATTTAATTGTTACATCTGATATAATTCACAGTTAGCAGTGTCTTCACTCAGGCTAACTTGGTGAGATGCTAGCTAGACAAAGCTGATACTGGGACGGTGTCCATCAACTTTGTAACATTACAACTATCACAGTTAGCAGAGTGTTCTCGCTCAGGCTAACTCGGTGAATGCTAGTTGTACTAAATCAACATTGATGTTGTGCCCATTGATGCGGCTGTCGCAGCTGGCAGTGTCCTCACTCAGGCTAACCTGGTGGGACACTAACTAGACTAAGTTAATACTGGGATTGTGTTCATTGATTTTGTAACATTACGGCTATCACAGTTAGCTGAGTGTCCTCGCTCAGGCTAACTGGTGGGACACCACTATTTACAGCGACGGTCCTAGTGAAGAGTGTCCTTGCTCCCCTCTCACTGTAAGGACTGTTTTTTGGGTCTGTTTCCACAGTAGCAGAGTGCTCTCGCTCAGGCTAACTGGTGGGTCACCAATATCTGCAGCAACTATCCTAGTGAAGAGTGTCCTCGCTCCCCTCTCACTGACTGTCCCCTGCCTGTTCTCACAAACATTCAGCAGAGCGTCCCGCTGAGACTGACCTAGAGAGTTGGCCATGTTTGACTTTCCCAGCTGTAGGACCTGTATGGCTCCTCTACAGCCTGATGATGGCCATGACCTCTGCCCCTCTTGCCTTGGCCTCGAGCATCTGAGGGAAGGCCTCTCTGAGAACCCATGCATGAACTGTGGCATCATGCCTCGAGCAGTAAGGGCTGCTAGGCTCACCGAGGCAGAACACCTGACGGGTATGGTCGACCTCCCGCTTTCAGGGCAGTTGAATCCAGCCCAACCTACCCGTTCCAAGCGCAGGGCCACAGAAACTGCAGGGGCTCCCTCCAAGAGGGCTAAACCCAGCGGGCTGTCTTCTAGAGTGGATCTGCTGACCTCCGAGCTAGCTCAAATGAAGTCGCTTCTACTGGCCCTCCAACCTAGTGTAGGGGGGGCTGAAGCACCAGATCCACCCGCGGCTGAGCTTGGCTCAGAAGAGGATGTTATATCACTGGCAGCGTCAGCCAATCTCTTTACTGAGTACAGTGAAGAGCGGCCCATGGGTAGCTACATGGGGTCTGTCATTCGCATGGCACTGGCACGCCTGCAGTTAGATACGC